AMTTTTAAGTACAATCATAAGATTAAAGATATTATTATTTCTTTAAGAGCTCGACGACGTATCATATATATGATGATATCTATAGGAAATAAAATCACATAAATAAATATATGCTTAAAATATTATTTTTTTGTTGTTACCGGAGAGGGGATTGAACCTCTAACTATAAATATAGCAAAATTACTTGATCGTTGGGCTATGCTCATGTTGRCATATGCTTTGATTTTAAATATTGTGATTATTTAACATTATGAACGTTAAAGYAAAAACATATGTTCAAGAGAGACTATCTTTAAGAGATATCATCCTACAATTCCAGCAAATTCTTTTACATTGGCTCCAACTTTCTCATAGGTCCCTCTCGCACCAGTTGCCCTGAACATCCTATACTCTTTTGTTGAAAATGTACGATAAAGCCTCACATTCCCTTCTCCAACGACCTCGCTTGGGGCATATATCTCCTCATCATCTACATATGACCAAAAGAATGCCATAGAGAATCTCTTTACATTTTGCCTCAAAACAACTCGATGTTCTGCTGATCTCAACCTCTCATTGCTCCAAGCTTGCATAAAATCCCCAATGTTCACCACAAGAGCGTTCTCACAAGGCCTTATGTCCATCCACTCTCCTCCTTTAGATCTCATCTGAAGTCCACCAAGTTTATCTTGAAAGAGAATTGTCACGCAGCTAATATCAGTGTGTTTCCCAAGCCCTTCAACTTCTTCATTGGAGTCTCGAGGAGAGTAGTTGTTTATCCTAAGATATCCATCACAGTTTTTGAACTCATAATCATAAAATTTGTTTTCGAAATTATCTCCCAAGACCTTTAGTAATAGCTTGACTATTCTTTTAGATAGGTYAGTCATTTTGCTTCCATATTCCTCTAGTAAGTTGCTGCAAACAAATTCAACTCACAAGAGAGATTATTTTCATAAATAAATGAACGAAGAAGAGGGACATTATGTAAATGAACTTGGTAGAAAGGGGAAAAAAGAAAAAAAAATTATTCGATTGTTTATTTGATGATTTATTTATTTTTAAGTGGAAGATTCTTCGATTTTTTTAGTCACCTCTTAATTAAGTTACATTCAAGTTGGCCGCGAGTTCAAGTTGATACTATGCATTATGAGACCTAAACAAATCAGAATAAAGTATGCTCGATAAATATATTAATTTCTATTATATTTTTTAAAATAAATTTTTTTTACCGTTGTCAATATTAAAAAATATTTTTAAAATTGTTATATTAAAARAAAAAGATGGTTATATTAACGTTCTCCAAATTATTCTCCCCATCATAAAGAGATATATATCTCTATAACTTTTATTTCCTGTCCTTAACTTTTTTCTTCTCTGTAATCTATTGTAATTACCGTAGTTATAAAATTATACTTTTAACAAAAAATCATTTAATTTTTATTATAAAATTATAATTTGATAATTACCGTACACTCGATTAAAAACATTACTAAACAAAATTTATTTTTCTTCAATTAAGAAATCAGATAACAAAAAGCACAAAACTTTATAAAATAAATTACCAATTTAATCTCTCATTAATTTCAATTTGACCGCATCAAAGTGAGCATCACTAATTGACATACATCTTCAATCAAGAGGTTATGCGTTGTACWAAAAAAAATTCAAATTGACCCCTAAAAATTTAAGAGATGTTTTGAATTTAATTTTAATCTGGTTGATGAAACCTCTCACGAGTAATCTTTGAAATTCATTTATTTTATTTATCTTTCATATATATATATATATATATATATATATATATTATAATACATGGGTGAGAATTGAACTCACAACCTAAGTATATATCAATTATCGTATACTTCATTTAGTTTATATAACATATATATATATATATATATATATATTTTAATTAATCTCAAAATCACAGGTGACAAATTGAAATATTTAATCATTCGACTTTGTTAAGACTTTTTTTGGAATTGAAAAAAAAAACGCAAACTTATTCTTCCTAAAAAGGGAAAAAACTTATTGGTAATCTATTTCTTACCTAAATTGAGTATTGTGATGGCCGAGGAGCGCTTCCGTCAAGAGTTGAGCAGAGGCAGAGAAGTCCGGCCCCGAAAGCTTGAAGCTCTCAAAGAAAGGCGACGCCGTAAATCTCGGCACGTACGACGAAATTCCGACTTTGATTTTGGTGTCTTGAGGAAGACGAAACAGTTCATCGGCGATGGAGATCAGTTTCTGGTAAAATTCGTCGGAGACGCCATGGTTGGTGATGTAGAAGAATCCCCATTCGTTGCAGGCCGCACAAAGAGAGCAGAGAATCGATTCGCTCAAAGGCTGAGAAAGGTCGATCACTGGAAGCTCCACACAGGTTTGAGATTCCGACATTTGTGAAACCCTAGAAATTCAAATTGGGGATGGAAGAAATTATGATCGGTTTCGAAAATTTTCTCTGATAAATCTGAAAATCCAAATTTCAAAGTAGGTATCTGTACCTTTCGCTCTGATTTTTTAAAAATTAATCCCTCGCACAAAGTCGCAATTCCATCTGGTATAGAGGAAAATGTTTGACTTTTTGTATGGGAGATTTTTCTTTCTTTATTATCGTTTCACATTCTCAGGTTTTTTAAAAACACAAGTATTTGTTAATTATTGTCTAAAGTAACAAAATCTTTTTTTTTTATTCAGAGCAACATTATTTTATTTTTCCTAACTTATATTATAGACATAAATATTAAAAACTAAATTAAGATAAAAAATTTGAATGCTTGATTTAATTCATAGAACTCGAAATAAGAAATGTTACGGAACATGTTAAATTACTAAATTTCAAGAGAGATTTTTTTTTTAATAATTTTTTTAGAATATTACATTATGTATATAAGATGCGTGGATTCGAAGCTAGAGATAAACTAAATTTGAAGTCAGAGAGAAATTAAAGATTATGAATTAATTATGTATCCAACAATTTAGAAGAGGTAAGCAGAATATGGGGACTACTACCTTTAATAAAATTTTCATTTGTCGAAGTCGACTAATGTAACAACTAATATGCTTTAGTGTTGTTTTATGTATATAATATGTATAGTGATGTTTTATTCATATTATATACGTTAGTGGTTTTTTTTTTTTTTTATAGAAAAATATACATTAATGGTGTTTTATTCATATGATCTACGTTAGTGGTGTTAATTAGTAGACTAACGATTTTTTCTGGAGGTTTTTTTTTAATACCATAGTAGGTTGAGATGTRGATTCAAACTTGCGATCTTTTAGTTGAAATCGAGAGACAGATGCTCATGTTGACAATTATTGGCGTGTATATATATAATATGGGTAGTGGTGTTTGAAACATATGATATTAGTGGTGTTGATTAGTAGACTATATTGTAAAATAAATATTGTGATTATTTTATTATAAATTTTAAAGTACAATTCTTATGTTTAAGAGAGACTTATCTTGAGAGAGAATATCATCCACTTTCTTAYAATTTCGAACTTTTACACTAGAACTACTTGTTCTAAATATAATGTACCGATCTTTTGTCGAGGACGGAAGTTTTTATCGCCCTACTTTAACCTTTCAACTAAGAAAGTTCTTGATAACTTAACTATTGAATCATACTAGCATAAAAATAGTGAACTAAGAAAATATATTAAGAATGAYATTCACACAATCAAATAGCACATCAATAATAATATGTTGAGATTCAATTAGAAGTCATATAGGCACAGTTGAAAGAAAAATACATAACTACGTTGTAAAAATTTATGCTCGACATTTTAAGAGATTGGGAAAGAAATCATCCTACAATTCCAGCAAAGTCTTTTACTGTGGCTCCAACTTTTTCGTAGTTCCCTCTTGCACTGGTAGCCCTAAACATTTTATACTCTTTAATCGAAAATGGTCGATAAAGCCTCACATTCCCTTCTCCAACAACTTCACTCGGGGCATATATCTCTCTATCATCTACATATGACCAAAAGAATGACATAGAGAATCTCTTCACATTCTGTCTCAAAACAACTCGATGCTCTGCTGATCTCAACCTTTCATTGCTCCAAGCTTGCATAAAATCCCCAATATTCACCACAAGAGCGTCCTCACAAGGTTTTATATCCATCCACTCTCCTCCTTTCGATCTCATTTGAAGTCCGCCGACGTTGTCTTGGAATAGAATTGTCACGCAGCTAATGTCGGTATGCTTCCCAAGTCCTTCGATTTCTTCTACTTTGTCTTCTTTGTTGGAGTCTCGGGGAGAATAATTGTTTATTCCCAAATTACCTTTACAATTGCTAAACTCAGAATCATAGAATTTGTTTTCGAATTTGTCTACTAAGATCTTTAGTAATAACTCTACTATTCTTTTTGATAGGTTATTCATTTTGCTCCCATATTCCTCTAGCAGGTTGCTGCAAACAAATTCAACTTACAGAGAGAGATTAGTATCAGAAACAAAAGAATGAAGAAAAGAGAACATCCTGTTAATGATAGCTTTCTATTTTTACTTTTAAAAATAAAATTGTTGGATAATTTTCAGTATTTAAAACTGTTTTTAAAATTGTAATTTTCAAATTTTCATTCTTTTACATTACCTCTCAATTATTTTATCCCTCATTTTCTACCTTAAGGGTACATATAAACTCTATAACTTTTAATTCATTCTCTTCATTTATTTATTTCTTTTTAGTTCAATAACTGTGTCGTGGGAATGTTAAAAAAAATAATTATTATATTGTGAGATATGAACCATTAATCTTTAAGATGATAATTATTGTCTTTATCTTATTCATAAAATTATGTTCAATTTAACTTTTCTAATCTTTTCCTCTCTCAAATGTTTTTGTAAACGTTGTAATTATAAGCTTATAAAATTATACTTACGAAACAAAGAAACATTATTATTATTATTTTTTTTTTTGGAGAAAAGAAACATCTAGTTTTTAATATCAAAACAAGATTTACTTTTTATAATTAAAATACAATAATTATAATTAGATAATTACTTTATACTCAATTAAATACCACTAATAAACAAAATTTATTCGTATTTTGTAAGAAAATAAGATTAAAAAAGAGAGGAAGGAAAGAAAATAAGCTTGATAAAATTAAAGTCATATTACAAATTTAATCTCTTTGAACTTAGTTTCAATTTCGTATCCATGATTATGAAATTTTCAATTTAATCCCTTTGATTTGGTAAAATTCACAAATCGTCCCCCAAACTGTTTTGTACCCAGCCGAACACCTACTCATTTTTCTCTAGTTTTTACTAAAATCTACACTCTAATACAGGTAATTCGATCTCCCGATTCACGTATTGTACTAAAAATAATCAAATTTTAACAAAGTTATAACTTATAACATATGTTTGATTGACGAAATTGAAATTAATAGAACTAATTTAAAAATTATATTATTGATATTTCGGCGCTTTTTTTTTCCTAATTTTTTTTTTAATCTCACCTGAATTCTGTATTGGGATGGTCGAAAAGCGCTTCCGTCAAGCTGTAAGCAGATGCAGAGAAGTCCGGCCCCGCAAATTTGAAGCTCTCAAAGAAAGGCGACGCCATAAACCTCGGCACGTAACACGAAATTCCCACTTTGTTTTTGGTTTCTTGAGGAAGACGAAACAGTTCATCGGCGATGGAGATGAGTCTGTGGTAAAATTCTTTGGAGACGCCATGATTTCTGATGTAGAAGAATCCCCATTCGTTGCACGCCGTCGTAAGAGAAGACAGTGCCGATTCACTCAAATCCTCATAAACGTCGATCACTGGGAGCTCCACACAGGTTTGAGATTCCGACATTCCTCTCTCTCTCTAACCCTAGAAATTTAATTTGGGAATCAAAATTGTGATCGGTAATCGGTTTTAAAAAATTTTCTGTATGGCTGAAATTCCAAAGTTGTATCGGTCCATTTCGTTTCCTTTTTTTTTTTCCTTATAAAACTAAGTCCCTCACAAGGCAAGCTTTGACTTTGGATTAAATTAAAGGCCATGATACATGATGATGAAACACTTTTTTTTTCCTTTAGTTCAACGAATGGRAGAATGTGATCGAATCTTTGATTGAGATCGAACGGTTATAAGTTTGAAGCCATTATAAAAAGATTGAACTACAATTATCATCGTCTTTTAAATTCGACAAATATGACGTAGATTCAAAATTATGACTCACAAAAGAATTGTAGACTCATGTTTGGCAACGTTCTCCAATCAAAACAAGTTTCTTATTTCTTATATCCATTTCTAATTTGTTTCAAAATATAAATAAGAAGATTATGTTTTATCACACTTGAATTTGTGGATGTTGAGATGCTGCAATTCTATTATATTTATTTTATGTAAATGTTTTAATACAGTGGAGGTTAATTAATTTTTTTTATCCAATGGGAAGCTTTTTTTTTTAATTTCAAATGGGAAGCAATTATATTTTCATAGATTTCTAATATAACAAAAGTTAACCTTAGTTTTTTAGTTCAAATTCTATCTCTTATCTCTAAATTTTCATACATATTTTTTAGCTCCTAGACTTTACATAAATTATATATATATATATATATAATACTTGAGAGATATATATAAACAAATTAGAATTTTTGTTAGTAAACATGAAAATAAATAGCAATGATAAAAGAAGGTATTTATTTTAATGTAAAGCTTAAATAGTAAGCTTACAAGTTCTATATATTAAAAACAAGTCAACATGAGCGTTTAGTAGAAGATTATCACGCTTTACGATAAACATTGTTTCTATCGCAAGCACACCTTATAGTTGTTAGTGACTACAGAAAATAAAGTCTGTTTCACCAATTTTCAACATTCAAAGCAACCCATTAATAATATCATTGACTAATATGACACTATATTTATTCATTGATGTTGATCTCTATATGCATATACAAGTCAAGACTGGCTGCCAAAAACTAAAATTTATTCTTCTTCGATGCTATAAATCTCTCTCTATAGAAGACGCAATTAAGATCTAACAATGGCAGCTGGTGGTTTTGTGAAAAGCACAGAAACTGGGGAACATTATAAGGGCAGGGTGACCTTATTTGTGGTTCTCTCTTCTATGGTCGCTGCCATGGGGGGACTTATTTTTTGCTACGACATTGGAATTTCAGGTCTCTCCTCTTATATTCTCCTCTACTCTTTTTTTTTTTGTGAAATTTGTGGAGTAGCTATACAAAATATGTTTGGATAACTGTTGGATCAACTTTATGCACAGTTAACAATACATCGGTCGTTGTCGACTCAACTAATTAAGACAATCTATTTTTTTATTAAAAGTTGTTTGACTCTCTCCAATCTCACCAATTATTGAACTAAAAACATCACAAAATTATCTTATTAGAATTTTACATTTTGTTTTTAATAAGTTAACCCATCACTTCTAGCAAATGTGAGCATAGTTTAGTTAAAAAATCTTTCAATCTTTCACCTCACATTTGTTGTACTAAAAAAACAAGTTTCTTAACATCTGATGTTTGATCTTTTCGGTCACTTTTCGTTTTTTAGAATTCACTTTACTCCTTTTATTTTTTTTTCTCTATTACTCTTGCTCCCAAAGATTATATAGTATATATCTCGATTATATTGAGTCATGTATTTGTATATGTTACCTTGGTCTAAGCTAAAAAGAAAAAAAAAATTATTTTTTCTAGTACAAATGTGAGTGGGGGATCGAACTCACTAACTTCTTAATTGAAGATATATGTCAATTATTATTGAGCAATACTCCCGGAGAAGAGGAAAAAAAGTTACTATTTTGAAAACTAAGTAAATCTGACTAATTATATATTATTACCATGTTTGGTTAATAAAAACATAAAATAAATTTGTTTTTTTAGTTCAATTATTAAAGTGCTGAAAATCAGAGATTTTAATTCCTTTCGAACTAAAAATAAATCCTCAGTCTCCAAATTTTGTAAAATTTTTACGTTTAATCCTATTTTAGACCGATGATAAAAGAGAATTCTGTAACAAGTACTATATAATGTTAGAGAGAGTATTTGTAGAAAGTTTGAGAAATACTATACAGATTTTCAATGTGTAGAGTTATCGAAAACTAGAATCGAGAATCAAATGGAACAATTGTTTAGATTCAAGAATCAAAATCGCATTTTTTTATCTAAATCCTAACACGTTCATCGATCGAAATTATATTGGAATGTGGAAGAAAAAAAGTAGAACTGTGTATGGATGAACAAACCTTGATATATGAAGGTGGAGTGACATCAATGGAGCCATTTCTGAAGAAATTCTTCCCAGGAGTTGACAGAAAGATGAATGAAGACAAAGAAATAAGCAATTACTGCAAATTCGACAGCCAACTTCTGACCTCCTTCACTTCTTCCCTCTACATTGCCGGCCTTCTCTTCACCTTCTTTGCTTCCTCCGTCACCAGAGCCTACGGAAGAAAGCCCTCCATTATCATCGGCGGCGCGGCCTTTCTCGGCGGCGCCGCCTTGGGCGGGGCTGCCTCCAATGTCTACATGCTTCTTCTCGGCCGCATATTGCTCGGAATCGGCGTCGGCTTTACTAATCAGGTTCTTTTCAGAGTGGTTTAATCAATTTGTTTTCTAATTGAGAAATAATTGGAATTGGAATGTGATTGGTTTATTTTCATCAGGCGATTCCACTGTATCTCTCGGAAATGGCACCGCACAAATACAGAGGAGCAATCAACAATGGCTTCCAACTCTGCGTTGGAATCGGCGTTCTCTCGGCTAATCTCATCAATTTCGGAACCGAAAAGCTAAAGAACAGCGCAGGCTGGCGAATCTCCTTGGCTTTGGCTGGGGTTCCCGCGTCGCTCTTGACCGTTGGTTCGATTTTCTTACCCGAGACGCCCAATAGCCTGATTCAACGCTGCGATGAGCATCAAAAGGCCAAGAAAATGCTGCAGCGTATCCGTGGCACGGAGGATGTTGACGCGGAATTTGAAGATCTCGTGAAAGCAAATGCAACGTCGAGGACGATCAAGAAACCGTTCGTGAAAATTACTCAACGGAAGTATAGGCCCCAGCTTGTGATGGCCATAGCGATTCAGTTTTTCCAACAAGTAACTGGGATCAATGTCATTTCGTTCTACGCGCCGATTCTTTTTCGAACTGTTGGTTTAGATGAAAGTGCTTCACTGTTGTCGGCAGTCATGACTGGGCTTGTGGGTACTGTTGCGACCTTCGTTTCGATGCTTATTGTGGATAAGCTTGGCCGCAGAGTTCTGTTCACTATTGGGGGAATTCAAATGTTTGTCTCGCAAATTGTGATTGGAAGTGTAATGGCTGCTCAACTAGGCGATCATGGTGGGCTGAGTAAAGGGTATGCGTATTTGGTTCTTGTTTTAATCTGTATTTATGTTGCTGGTTTTGCTTGGTCTTGGGGTCCTCTTGGTTGGTTGGTTCCGAGTGAGATTTTTCAGTTGGAGATTAGATCTGCGGGGCAGAGTATCACTGTGGCTGCAAATTTTTGCCATAGCTCAGAGTTTTCTCTCTATGCTTTGTCACTTGAAAAGTGGCACTTTCTTCTTCTTTGGTGGGTGGGTTTTGATTATGACTGCTTTTGTGTTGCTTTTCTTACCGGAGACTAAGAATATTCCCATTGAGCAAATGGATAGAATTTGGATGGAGCATCGGTTTTGGAATAAAATTGTAGTGGAACCAGGACAAGAGCTTCAGTAACAACGTCCCAAGTTAAAATGAAATTACAACCACAGCTTTTATGATAAAGCATATCTTCAGAATAAGATAGTTCGCTTTTGGAAACATCTTTACATTTATAATAGATGGACTAATTTACACACTAACTGGCTGCTGAGGCATGATGTTGAATACTGGTGATTGAATTAGTTTTCCTTTCCATGTCGAAAAGAAAAACATTTTTCTCCACATATTGTAAGATGGATAGTTCTGTGGTGGTTATTTATACACGTAATGATTGAACAAAATTGTATCTGCAATAGAACTGCAGAGACTTCAACATCTATAAACATCACATCACATGTACGACGCTACACCATAACTAGGCGTCGCTGGTCCCGTTGAACCCGGGTTTCTCTTGACTTAATATTAGCAGAAGCAATGGTGGGATCACTAAAATAGAGTGAGAACTGAGAAGCAAGCAACTAAATGGGGAAATTACCTGGTTTGCTGGCCTTTCTTGTGTGATTGCATCTACTGGAGGTCTTGTGTATTTGGCTATGACATTGGAGTTTGAAGTCTCATTTTTACTAGTAACACGGGGCATTCTTGTAAAAACAGTCTCATAGGAGCATGTTGAGGAAGATGGAATACTTTCTGGAATATCCTTACAGTTTGAAAACTCTACACCTTCATTTATTGGAGGTGAAGCTTTTAATTCTGTACTGGTAGCATATTACTTGGAGTTGGGGTTGGTTTTATAATCCAGGTATAAACTACCTTGATCTTCATCTTCAGTTTTATATTTTCTTTGATATATATCTTCTATTTGCCTGATTACTCATTTGAATTGAATAATGGTAAGAAATTAAAGCAATTCATTGCATTTACTTGACTAAGTAGTGTGGTAGATATTTACTGGTTAGAGTGCGTATATTCAGTATTTATCCATCTGCTTCCATATCATATTAGTTAGTCAAATAATATTTAATAACTTCCTAAAGTTACTAAGTTGTAAATTTCTTGAAGTTTGAGTGGATGAACACAATTTCTAGATAGTTATTACAATGTCACTAGAATTTTTTTCCTTGTTGTTTGACATATACATCAAGAGAGAATTTTTTACTGCATTTTTCCAACTATGCCACTAGAAAAACAAAGGAATGGAAGAAAAAATAACAGTGCAAGATGCAACCTTTTATCTTTTTTGAACACGATATGAACTCATTGATGAAATGCAAAGATACAACAAAAGTTCAAAGGAAAGAAACTCCAAAAAGATTGAAAAAACGGAAAAAGAAAAGAAAATTCAAAGTTGTAGAAAGATTGCAACCTGGCTTTAAACTTTAAAGAACAAAAATAAATAAATAAAATGCAAGCCCTCCAAAATACAGAGATATGGATCAACAAAGATAAGAAGAACCTTCTCCAAGTCTTGCTCTGGAAATAGACAACAGAAAGAAAAGACCTCTCCATGAAAACAAACCGCCTACTAATAAGATACCAAAAAACAAAAAGATGGCAACAAAATGATGCAATATTTTATCAAAATCTCTTTCCTTTTCAATCTCATTTCTACCTTTTGCTATGCAAAAAGCCAGCTGGTCCTGCTCAATTTGTATTGTTATGCCATGTGATAAAGATGGCCAAGTATGAGGCCTAACCCATCAACTTCCATATTCAACCACATCTGTTTTTTGAATATTCTTTCACAATGACTTTTACACTCCTGTTTTATACAAAATGTAGCTATCAAAATAAATGCTGATCTGGATTAGTTTAGGAAGACACCTCCAATCTACAACGTGGACTCAATGAAGACTTACTTTAGATTTGGATTACTGGCTCTTTCTTTTCCAATGTGAGCTGTTTGAAATCTTTTGTCGCAATAAGAAAAATTCCAATGATACTGGACTCTCCACAAGTATGAGAATTTCAAAGCCTTACCTACATATATTGCCCCACAGTTTCCTCTACAAGTAATTTCAGACTTAACTTACTCTACAACTTGGACTCAGCAGCCATGGCAGTGGGACTAGCTATACCAAGTGAAGGTGGCGAATACAATGGCAGAATGACTCCTTTTGTTGTTCTATCTTGCATGATGGCTGCCATGGGAGGTGTTATCTTTGGCTATGACATCGGAAATTCAGGTATCATTAACTAAAACAAATGAACATGGGCTCTTATGATTATATTGAAAATATAATTTTTGTATTCCCTCAAGAAAGTTATGACAATGGTCCAGAAAATTTGAGCTCTCTGTAATGGAAAATACAAGTCATATCAGAAGCCATTCATCTTAGTTTAATAATTCATTAATTTTCTTCAATGCTTCATTATTGTTCAGGTGGTGTAACTTCGATGGAGCCGTTTTTGAATAAATTCTTTCCTGCGGTAGACAGTAAGATGAGAGGGAGTACCAAGTCTGGCAATTACTGCAAGTTTGATAGCCAACTCTTAACCTCCTTTACATCTTCTCTCTACTTGGCTGGCTTTGTTTCTTCTTTCTTTGCCTCTTCAGTCACTCAAACCTACGGCCGAAGGTTGTCTATCCTCATTGGAGGTGTTTCTTTCCTTATTGGTGGAGTTGTTGGTGGTGCAGCTCTCAATGTATACATGGTAATCCTCGGTCGCATCTTGCTCGGAGTGGGGGTCGGTTTTGGGAACCAGGTAAACTTCATAACATATAATTCAGATATGCTAGTTTTTTTTATCCAAAATATCTGCCCAAGTTTGTGAGGAAATCAAGTTTTTGCATGAGTAGAAATTTACCTCAATAACCTGCACGTTGCAGGCAGTTCCATTATATCTAGCTGAAATGGCACTTCCCAAGTATAGAGGAGCAATCAACAATGGCTTCCAATTCACCGTCGGTCTCGGGGCAATATCTGCCAATCTAATTAACGTTGGTGCTGAAAAGATAAAAGGTGGTTGGGGCTGGCGGATCTCTTTAGGCATGGCTGCTGTCCCGGCTTTGATTTTGACATTAGGCGCATTACTTCTCCCCGAGACGCCCAATAGCCTTATCCAACGTAATGAAGACCAGGAGAAGACGAAGCTTCTGCTACAGCGTATTAGAGGAACACCTGATGTTCAAGAAGAACTTGATGATCTGATCAAAGCAAGTGCAGACTCCGGAAACAGAGATAGCCCATTGAAGAAAATTACTCAAAAGAAGTTCAGACCACATCTCATAATGGCAATCTCCCTACCATTTTTCCAACAACTTACAGGAATCAACGTCATTGCCTTTTATGCACCAGTACTATTCAGAACACTTGGTTTGGGCGAAAGTGCATCACTATTATCTGCTGTTATGGTCTCGCTCATCGGCACAAGCTCGACATTCATATCAATGCTTACCGTCGACAAGTTCGGGAGGCGATTCATGCTCTTGTTCGGAGGGATTCAGATGCTCGTGACCCAAGTGACGATTGGAGGCGTTTTGGCAGTTCATTTGGGAGATCATGAAAAAATGAGCAAAGGGTATGCATATTTGGTTCTAACCATGATAGGCATTTTTGTGGCTGGGTTCAATTGGTCTTGGGGGCCAGTGGCTTCGTTGATTTCAAGTGAGATTTTTCCTCTAGAAATCAGATCAATTGGGCAAAGTATTAGTGTGGCATTGAGCTTTCTCTTCACTTTCGTTATTGCTCAAACTTTTCTTGCAATGCTCTGCCACTTCAAGTCTGGAATCTTCTTCTTCTTTGGGGGATGGCTGCTGCTTATGAACCTGTTTATATACCTTCTTCTACCAGAAACAAAGAAGATCCCAATTGAAAAGATTGAGAGAGTATGGAGGGAGCATTGGTTTTGGAAGAACATTGTGAAGGAAAATTGTGTTGGATCCAAAATTTGAAGCCCCTCTTGAATTCTATAAGATCATATAATAAGAACGTGGGCAAAATATTAGTAGAATATTTTCAAATTATGTCGTTTGTAGTTGCCTCATAATTTATATTATAACTTCTTCTCTTTATTGAAATTAGTTTCTAATAATTAGAATTACGAGGATATTTTACGGACACCATTTCATTAAGAAAACACTTAAAACATAAAAGAAAAATGAATCTCGTTGAATTTATTTGATAGAGTGAATTTGAAAATAAGAAACTAATGAATCTCGAGAAACAAGCCTATGCCTATGATTTGGTTGATATAAATTTTGAAATTTTCAAATGTATGTATTTTCTCTCGTTGGGATAAGATTCTGATATTCGAAATTATTTAATGGATGACGAGGCTTAAAGGATATGGTTTTTGCCTTATTTTATTTTCTGGGTGTATAATATATAATTTCCCTTTTCACGAACTTTGACTTACACGGAAAGTTTTTATTATTTAATTCATTTTTACAAACTCCAATATTCAATTTTGTTTGTAATAAACATGCCACGTGTCTATTGTGCGAACGGAACCTTTTTCTCTTTATCCCCATACTAAAAATAAAAAAATAAATCAGCAGTAAATAATTAAATTAAAGGGATAAAATGCAAGGATTTGATTGAATATTAGCCAATACCTCATTAATTTCCATAAACGACAAGAAAACAATAAAAAGCGAGCATAGTAATACAAGTCAAAATAGGAACAGTTTTGAAAACAATTTTATTAAAATAGAAATATTTATGAATGGCCCATAAATCTGCAACTCTCGTACACACACACACACACACACATATATATTTTGTGCTCTCTGTCACCATAGTCAACCAAGTCTGCTCCTCTCTCTCTGATCTCTGTGATCTGAAGAAATTAGGAGAAGAAGAAGAAGAAGAAATTAGGGTTTAGGGTTTATGGCAGGGGGAATGGGGATAAGAAATAGTGATGAGGGAGATGGAGGAGGGCAATACAATGGGAAAATGACTTCATTTGTGGTGCTTTCATGTATGATGGCAGCCATGGGAGGTGTTCTCTTTGGCTATGACATTGGAATTTCAGGTTCTCTCTCTTCCCTTGAAATTCTACACCACAGTTTACACACACATATAATATATATAGTACTCTTCCATTGATTTGGGTCTTTTCAAACTTATTGATTCTCCTTCATTAGCTTTAGCTAGTGGGAGAAATTAGAATCCAAAACCATTTCAAAAGAAGTTGATTCAGATTAGATTTAGAAGTGAAAATTCCAATCTACTAGTTTGGGTAGAAATGATTTAACATGGTCTTAAGGATGATTGCAAGCTCATCATGTGGTTAGGTGGCCATTCTCACACTCATGCTTTTGTTATTGATTATTAGTTTGCGTGGAAGATTTTTGTATGATGGGGTGGTTACCAACATTTAATATTATTTTTTTTTTCAAGAGTCCGGATTTTAGAAGCAAGAACCGCTTAAACTATACCCAAAAATAAGTCATCTTCTAAATTTTGAAAAAAAAAAAAAAAATTGAAGAGAAATAAATGTGGAGCTAATTGTGTGGTTGGTTAGGTCATATAGAATCTTAGGCAAAGGAATTCATCATACCATATATCATATGTGGGTGTGAATTATTAAAAAAATATGCACACTACTTGGCTGCTTTTTGGGCTCTTTTTTTGCACCTTGGAATTTTAGGACCAATGAGTGATGACTAAAACTTGTAGGGCCACCCAAAGAAAAATAACTCATCATTATTTCATTTTATAAAATTGAGAAATATGGCCATTAATACTTTTTTCTTTATCTAATTCATACCCTCATTAAAACTTATAAATCTGAAGATTTTTTCTTCAACCAACTAATATATTATACAAAATTCAACTAAACAAAATACTAAAATGTCCAAAAATCAAATCACAAAAACATTTGAACATAGTCACAAAATCTAGTTGAAAAATAATACTCAAGCTTTGAAAACTAAATCTAAATAATAATTTAAATCATACTCAAAGTTTGAGATCAAAGCATAAGAGAACTAAAGAGATGGATCAAAAAAGTCTCATTGTGTCTATCACTAATCACCGATCTATAATCAATGAATAAATAAAATAACTGGACTAATCAAATGTAATAACTGCATAACTTGAAGTGTAGGATTTAATTTTCAACATAAAATTTTGATCATCGGAACAAGAACAATAATGAAGAGCAGTTTAATGATTATAATTTACTCTTGCAGGTGGAGTGACGTCAATGGAGTCATTTCTGAAGAAATTCTTCCCAGAAGTGGACAGAAAGATGAAGGCAGACACAGAGATAAGCAATTACTGCAAATTCGACAGCCAACTTTTGACCTCCTTCACTTCTTCTCTCTATTTGGCTGGTCTTCTCGCTTCCTTCTTCGCCTCCTCCGTCACCAGAACTCTTGGCCGGAAACCCTCCATTCTCTTCTCCGGCGTCGTTTTCATCGCCGGCTCCGCCCTCGGCGCCGCTGCTTTCAATCTCTACATGCTCATTGTTGGCCGTGTCTTGCTCGGGGTCGGAGTTGGTTTTGCAAATCAGGTACTTTTTGGTGCGAATTCTGATATTCTTTCGATTCCTTTACAAATTTGATGCATTTGCAGGCCGTGCCATTGTACCTCTCTGAAATGGCACCCTCGAAATACAGAGGAGCAATCAACAACGGCTTCCAATTCAGCGTCGGACTTGGAGTTCTGGTGGCGAACTTAATCAACTTCGGCACCCAGAAGATCAAATCCGGCTACGGGTGGCGGATCTCGCTGGCCATGGCCGCATTCCCAGCTTCCATCTTAACCCTCGGCGCCCTCTTCCTCCCGGAAACCCCCAACAGCCTCCTCCAGCGCGGGAGTGCCCGCCAAGTGGTCGACGAAATGCTCCAACGAATCCGCGGCACCCCCGATGTCCAACTCGAGCTCGAGGACCTCATCAGGGCCAGCGAAACGGCGAAATCCATCAGCAGCCCGTTCAAGAACATTCTGATGAGGAAGTACAGGCCCCAGTTGGTGATGGCCATCGCCATACCCTTCTTCCAACAGGTCACTGGAATCAATGTCATTGCCTTCTACGCGCCGATTCTGTTCAGGACTATTGGGTTGGGGGAAAGCGCTTCCCTGTTCTCAGCAATCATGACGGGGGCCGTGGGGCTTGTCACTACCTTCATATCCATGCTCGTGGTTGACAAATTGGGGAGGAGACTTCTGTTCATATCCGGCGGCGTGCAGATGTTTGTGTCACAGGTTGGTTTAAAAACTTCAGCTATTAATTAAGATACTTTGATCATCCATTATAGACTAATATATTATTGGTAAAATAATCCAAGTTTAAAAAAGTGAGAGAAGAAATGGTTCAAAAGGTTTTTGGAGTCAAAATGAGCACTTCGGGCAACTCATCATGACCTCAAATAGATGGATCAAAAAGTGCATTTTACCCTGTATTATTCATGGGTTACGTGAGGAGTAGCTTTTTGTATCTCAACGTCCCTAGCATGTCTCCTTAAATACTCGTTCGGGTTTGTTGGATTCTCGTAACATCTCAATATTCATGAGTTCCATCCCAGAATGAGTATAAGCAGATCTCTGATAACATCTTAATATTCATGAATTCCATCTCAAAATCAGTATTATTAGATCTTTCGATACGGGATCTTATATATTTGGCCAATTTTAGCAAAGTTTGTGAACAGTACTACTTATTTCTATATATTCTTGAACACGTACAGATCATAGTTGGGGGGTTGCTGGCGGCGCTGCTGGGGGACCATGGCACGGTGGAGAAAGGCTACGCCTATTTGCTGCTGGTTATGATATGTGTGTATGTGGCTGGATTTGGGTGGTCGTGGGGGCCATTGGGGTGGCTGGTGCCTAGTGAGATATTTCCATTGGAGATCAGGTCTGCGGGGCAGAGTATTACAGTGGCAACCAGCTTCGTCTTCACCTTCATTATAGCTCAGACTTTCTTGGCCATGCTGTGCCACTTGAAAGCAGGTATTTTCTTCTTTTTTGGGGGTTGGGTGGCCGTCATGACTGTGTTTGTCTACTATTTTCTGCCGGAGACCAAAAACTTGCCCATTGAGAAGGTGGAGAGGGTGTGGACACAGCACTGGTTTTGGAAGAGGATTGTTGGGGAAGATGATGGTGGTGAACACAGCAAAGTGGGCAATTTTCATTCGTGAGAATTTATACACATGTTAGCGAGAACCTACCATATGATTGAGAATTTTATACAACTGGGTATACCATATATGAGATATTAAGTTAAATTTCTGTATGATTTGATCCTATACCGTATATCGAGACAACTACATTGAATAATTTTTCATACAAGCAGATGGAGGTGGGAGAATTCTACCTCGAACCTAGCTTGTTTGGGTAGTAAGAAAAGAACATCTCAAGGTAAATGGACGTGAGAAGTCCTAGAGTAAAAATTCAATTTATTGTTCGTCATAGTTCAAATGTTTAGTGGTGCTTCTCTAATCGTAGACTTAAATTCTCTTATGTAATATTTTTAAGAAGAAACTATAATATTGTAATAGCATTGTCATTAATATAATATATTGTCTTATGCGTAGATGTTATATTAAATATATATTGAAATAATTTAATTATATCATATTGTTCTAGACCATCGAAACATGATATATCTCTAAAATATGGAAATTAGATGATTGTGTTATACGGTAAAACAAAAATTGTAATAAGAGTTCAATTGATTTTTTATTTATTAATAACAAATTTGGGGTATGAGTTTGAACCACAACCTTAAAAATGGGATTATATGTCAATAACTACTGAATTATGCTATGATGGTTGGGTTCAGTTGAAGTTTAGTGGATTGATGTTTAAAAATATTTAATTATATAGCTATATAATTAAATAACCTTTCTAATTTGTATTTAATTAAATGTTAATTTGGATTTCAATACCAAAATTAAATACAATCATAGCAACATTATAATTCTTTTACTAAAAAAAACTTAAATAAAATTTTTCCATAAAATTTCCTATATTTACTTTTGTAATTGGTTCATATATATCCATTCCCGTCTTTGTTATATCTTTTACTTATATATTTAAAAATGGAAAGTAGAAGAACAACATATCTCTTTGCAATTAGTTTTCAAATTTAGAAACAACAAAAAACAGTTTTAAAAAATTAGTTTGCAAAATAGTTTTAAAAAATACAATTCGAACGAATACACCCAAAACCAAAAATATCTACAAATAACTATTTGGAATTGTTATTTGGCAATTTATTATTCAGCAATTGTGAAATTAGAAAACCCAACTCAGTAACACTATTATTTGGAACACTCCAGACTGTTAAAGCCGTTCCACGTGGACATATTTGATTTGCCTAAAAGTCCAACTATCACATCTCAGCCGTCCGATTAATATTTAAAGTTCGCAAACTCAGGACTTTGAATATTTTTCTTTTCAATTAAAAATTTAAAAAGGAGTTGAGACATTCTGTTCTTCACCTTCTGCAGGCTGAGCCTTTTCCGAATCGGTATGTTGTTGTTCATTTTTCTTCTTCGGGTTTCTCGAGAAAATTCTTGTGCGATTCTAGGGTTTTTCTGCTGTTTCGGTTTTCGATTACGGCTGCGAGCCAGAATTCTTTACGGGTAGCAATATCATCAATATTTGATCAAAATTAACAACTGTGCTTGATTATTACTAGTTTTCTTTTTTCAGAGCTTGTGGGATTTCCTTGATGCCATTTATGGTCCTTCTGCTGTTTTTTAGTCTGTTGTGGGAAAATTTAGCAGAGAATTAGACTTTGAATTAAATTTGTGATGATACTTGGATGATCTTGTGTTTCCCGCTGACAATGGATGGTTCGTTGATTTTTGTTATCCGATATGACTAGCTTGTTTGTTATATGAATTTTACTGGAATAGGCAAAAAGGTGAAATGTTCCCAGAGTTTTGGGGGATGACTAAATTAGATTTCTCTCTAATTTTTACCAGAAAATGATAGCAAATGAAATAGAGGTTATTGGGATAATTGATGATAGTGTAGAACTGAGAAGGAGCTGAACGATGGTAATTAAACTTTTAGTCGATGGATTCCAGATTCCTTCTCGTTCTGGGCTTCTATTGAATTGAATTAAATAGTTTCTGGTTGATTTTTTCTGGCTTATCTCTGTCTTGTTACATCATTTGTTACCATCACTTGCGAGGTACAATTACCTTTAACTTCGATGCATCATTTTTGCAACAGGCCTATACATATCTTTAAATTGATACTGGTTGCATAATTGGTCCAATGCCTTCTGTTAATTCTTCTCAGTGGCAGGAGAAGGCTAGTGGTTTCTTTYCTTCATCAGGTACTCTTTTTTAGTACATAAATAAAGTTGTTTTTGTTGTTTGCTCTTCTGCACTGCTTATTGTCATGTTTCTATCAATAACGATACATTACAGGAGTAAAGCTGAAAGAAGCTGGACAATCAGCTGGAACTTTTGTTGGGGAAGTTGCAAAGGATGCAAAAGGAAATGCTGCTGATGTGGCTGAACGAGTTGGTTCTTTGTTCAAGAGTCGGTGGGCACTCCTGCAGCAGCCAGCTACAAGACATGCTGTGCAAGAACGTCTAATATCTGCTGCTGCTACTACTGGCACATTTTTCAGGAAAGGCGTGTCAGATACAAAGGACAAAGTTGTTGTGGGGAAAGTAAAAGTTGAAGAGGTAATTTTGATTGAACTTTTCATTTCATTTTGCATATTACATAATATTTCCTTACATGTCCGACTTGTGCATGGTTCTTAGGTTGCGAAAAAGACTGCACAAAAGAGTAAGACAATTTTGACAGATATTGAACGATGGCAGAAGGTAAGAGTCCTCCTATAAAGTTCCCTTCTCTTTACATATTATTCCTAATTTTTGGCTCCTGTTTGTTTTCAATTATGCAGGGGGTTGCAAGTACAGATGGTAAGTTTCTGAAGTTTGTCCATTTATTTTATGTAATGTTACTGAGTACTTCAAACTTGAGCTCTATAAAAAATCTTTTTGCTAGTGGCCTCTATTAACATTTTTTATTGTTTTTTTAAATTGTGAATCTATAGTATTTGGAGTTTCAATTGAGGTAACTGTACAGAGACAACAATCGAGTAGGGTTATTCCACATATTCTAATTAGATGTGCAGATTATCTCATCTTATCAGGTACTAAGTTTCAAAATTACATGTTTACATGTATGTGTTTATACATGTAACTTTTTGCATGCAACTAAAATTCCATTTGATATCTGGCTTTGCTTTCCTATTATTTTCATCTTTAGGGCTAAACTCACCATTCCTGTTCAAATTTGACGGAGACAAAAGGGTTCTTCAGCAATTGGTGTCAATGTATAATCAAGGTAAAGGAAGTAGTTTATATGATCAAGTTTGGTCTTTGGTGGTTTAGTTTGCATAAGTTCACGAATAGTCAGATATGTAAATATATTTTTCAGATTCCAATGCCCCACTACCTGAGGGTGTAAGTCCAGTTGATGTAGCAGCTTTTGCTAAATGTTACCTTGCCAGTCTTCCTGAGCCACTAGTCACATTTGAGCTTTACAATGAGATCAGGGGTGCACGTTCAAGCATAAATGACCTGCGAAACATTTTGAAGAAACTTCCGAATGTGAATTTCATGACCTTGGAATTCATTACTGCACTATTTCTCCGCATTAGCCAAAAAGCATTGCTCAATAAGGCAGGGACTCTCTCTCTCTCTATCTCTGTGCATGCTGTCACATCAAAGAGACTTCTATCTGACGTGAATTTGCTAATTTCATGCCCTTAAAGTTTGACGTTCTTACCCTAAGTTTGGAGTCATTAATCTTCTCATGTCCTTAAATTGAAAAAATATATCCATGTTCTTTGTAGTTTTTCTAATTTCTGTGTTTTCTCTGTAGATGGATGCTCGCAGCCTTGCTATGGAAATGACTCCTATAATAATGTGGCAAAAGGACAGGCGGCCAGAGTTCTACCGAGAATATTGGGATTATCATTCTAAAACTTCTTCTGCAAAGACCTTAAATACACCACCTACCTACAGTTCATGGGACTTGCTTTCAGGTAACTAGGCCTGTCCTTGCTACTTGACTGCTTGCTATGGTACTTTGTTTCAATGCAACGTGAAATTGGAAATGGATCTATATTCCTCTTCTGGAATCGAAAATTTAGTTACAATTATAGGAACAAGGACGATAATGGTCAATTATATTACCCATTTACTCATTAATAGACAACTTCACGTGTATGAAAGGACCGATGTATGCAAATAATTCTACCTATTATCTTGTAGTGTTTAATTGAGGAAATATGAAAGGTATCATGTAGCGAGGTTGGGAAAATTCCAATCTTGAACTTGCATTTTAGTAGCTTTGAGTAGCTTACTGTACATGGGCTTGCTGTTACTTCTTTAGTTAGTTACTACACTATTTTAGTAGTTAGTCGTTAATCAGAAGCTCTTATAAAGATTTAGAAGATGGTGCTTTGTCTTTGTAGCCAGCACTTTTCATATATTGAATAAAGGTCTCTTTGAGCATTTTTGCAGCGAATTCCAATCTTTTAGGCTGCATCAGTTTAAGAAGTGAGTAGGGACATTCAAACCACTTAGCCTATAATCTTCTGTTCATTATGCCTTGTTCGTGGTGCAAAATTGAGAACTCAATATATATACATATATGGGTATAATAAAAATTAAGCAAAATTATTTGTGGTTGTTACTTTGATGCTCCTCTGGGGTAATTCTCACTATCTATGTTTCTGGGCTGCAGAAGAGAGTGACACAGATGCTTCCTCTCACATTCCTTTGGATGATGCCATGTCGGTCGACTGTAGTGCCATTGAGGTCATTCAGTGCCTCATAGAACATCATAATGAAATCTTTACTGATGCTAACGAAACAATCTGGAGATGAATCAGCAGCACTCTTTTTTTTACTCGGCGCCAATTATTCTTGGATGAATTCTGATGCAAGTCTATCTCTTGGAGACAGATTTATATCTGAGAGATTTTTTTTTCTTAGTTCAATTGACCAGGTAGCATTAACCTTGAAATTTGTTCGGATGCACAGAATGGAGAACATTTAGGATGGCTTTAGTTAAAGTTTTCAAGGTTTATGTAATAACCTACCAGGATTTGCTTCTACGTTAACTTACTGATTTGAAGGTAGACATTTCAGTTGTACATACAACTAAAACTGCTATTATCTTGGCGTGTGAATAATAATTCTATTTACAGTAGAAGAATTGACTTCATTCTACTTCACAGAAGAACAAGTTTCTGTAATTGACTACGATTGTGTTGAACACTTGAAACTTGTGTATGGTTGAGGAAATTCTTATACCGTAGAGATTTCTTTCTAAAAAATATGATGCTTCTTTGTGACGAAGGCAACGTAAAACCTTTCTCAAAGGAAGATATTGATCTTATTTAGCTGGTTTGGTTCGTGGGTTTTGGGCGTGTTCACAGTTGGGTTGGATTGGGTTGGTAGGCGGCAAACCTACATAACCAAATATAATTGCCAACTTACCGACCCAACCCTTGGGTCATTGGTTGCATTTTTTTTTATTATTTATTATATGTGGCGGCAATGGACGATGTCTTGCTCCTACAGGTGAAGCATGATATCGCGAGAGAGGTGAGATCTAGATTGAGAGATGAGAGATGAAATAGTGAGAAAGGTGAGATTTGAGAGATGAGATCGAGATTTGAGAGAGATTGAGATCGAGAGGAGAAGACTGAAGAGGAGAAGAGGCGGGAATGTCTAAACCCTAAAACAATAAATAACACACACATATATAATTTCGGTTCGGTTTAGGTTGAATCAATTTTTTGTTGTTGTTGTTGAACCCGTGAACCAAATCGTAACCCAACCCAAATCGAGCCTTTACCTAACCTAACTCAACCCTTACGATTTGGATTGGGTTGTTCGAGTTTTTCGGGTTGTAGGTTTTTTTTTTTACACCTCTAGTGGGTTTAGTGAAAGTATGATCTTAAATTAATTCAAAAAAACGGTAGGATTGATTTTATTTTAGGAGGAATTTGAACATTTGAAATCGTTTTTATTGCAACCTAGTTTTGGTGACCAAACCCAACCTGAAAATATATGGTTGGGTTGCCCACTTGATTCAGTTCTACCAAGTAGAAGGATAGATTTTTCGAGTTGGAAAAAAAACTTTCTAACTTAACGTAACCTATGAATACCTCTAATTTTAAATAACAAAGTCCCAACAATTTTGATGTGAGAATGAGGTGATTTTTAGCGTGGACGAGATTTAACCACCATCAATGAACTTTGAGAAATTAAAATGATTTAAAACTCCTAACCTTGTTTGAAGCCCCTAATAGATTTTAATAGGTTTTAAATTGGTGAAAATAGAATTTCTTGTTTGAATGCTAAAAAATCTTAAAAGAAAGTAACAATTTTACCCGTGATGTCCTTTTCAATGTATATATTTTAAAAAATTACCTTCCCTCCTCTTTCTTTTATCATATATTTATTATATATTAAAAGAAGCATAAATCTTACCAAATGTTTGAAATGTTGTGTATGATTTAATTACATGAAAAATGTCAATGTTGACGGAAATTTTAGAAAAAATCATGAAAATGGATGAAATTTTGTTTGAATCAATAAGAGAAAGGTAACTTAATTAAACTATAATTGATAACTTAAAAAAAAAAAAATCCATTTTATGCTTCAATGTTCTGTTAAACAGAAGTGATTGATGTTTGTGGTTAATCAACCAAAAATTTCCAAAGTGTCATACTTCATAGTTCATTGTTTCGAATTAATCATAGAAGTTGATGAGAATGAGGCGTCGTTGAGCAAAACCTGAAATTTTAACCCTAAAATCTACATCACGGCATCTCCAATCCGTTCTCAAAGGAGCGGCTTCTAGCACTGTATGGAACTCTTTCCCCAAGATCCCAACAATCAGTTTCGAGCCTGCGTCTTGCTGCTTGTATTGCTCTTGCAGGTAGAACCCACCACCGTATTTTCTCTGTTCAATGTCATTTGCAATTTTCCGAGTTTGGTGTCTGAATCAACGTAAAATTTGGAAGAAAACTTTGAGAGTTTCAAGCACCCAGTTATTTCCTTAGCAAAATTTTGAAGCCCGATTCATCCATTTTCTTTTCTAATGGCGGTGGATTTTGGGTTGGCTGCAGATCAGCCAATCTATACAATTGAATGGGGAATTTTCCCATCTCCAAATTTGTTTTAAGTTCTCTTCTATTCCCTAAATTCCTGGTTGCAGAATTTCGCCTGCTTATTTTCTTCACTGAAAGCTGTATTGATTGTTGAGTTATCAGGTTACTGGACGTGTATCTGGAGAGCCAGGCTCGTACCCTTTGGTTGTAAGCACATGGCCCTTTTTGGAGGCTGTAGAAAGGGCATGGGATGCTGTTAATAATGGCTATTCAGCAGTTGATGCTGTTGTTGAAGGATGTTCCGCCTGTGAAGAACTGAGATGTGATGGTACAGGTGAGAACTTTAATTTGATAAAGAAATTGATGTGGGTCTAAATAAATATTTGAGTTTATTACCTCAGTCATTTCTATTGCTTAGCTATGGTGTTTGCCTCTTTGATTCTCTCTTATGTTTAGTATTTATTGTTCTCAAAAGTTAATTTTTGCTGGCGTTTGCTTCTTCACTTGTCTTAATTTGTAAAGCACTTCACTGGGTGCTTTCTTTATATTGAAAAATATCATGGATTTGCCACAAGCAAAAGCTGGAGTAGAGATTTAATTTGATATAGGAATATTTTCAAGACGAAAGTATGGATACTTCATGAGTATGGATCACTATTGCACCTCGATACTGTATTCGTGAGACTCATATTTTGCAGCAATGATTTAGAAATTTTGCAAACTAATAACACTTCTATATGGGTTTGATGCATTGATATTCATCCATAATTCTTTATGAATAGTTGGACCTGGTGGAAGTCCAGATGAGAATGGAGAAACAACTATTGATGCCATGGTTATGGATGGGGTAAACTTCAGTTTACCTGTTTCTCTCTTGCTTTCTATACCATTTATTTCCTGTTGCTTGTCTTTGGGCATCAAAATAAGGGTTCCACTTTATATTTTACTAAGGATATGCATAGATGACGATGGAAGTTGGAGCTGTCGCCGCTATGAGGTATATTAAGGATGGTATAAGAGCTGCAAGATTAGTGATGAGACATACCAAACATACTTTACTTGTTGGAGAGAAGGCCTCTGCTTTCTCCCTTTCTATGGGTCTTCCTGGACCGACGAATCTTAGTTCGCCAGAGTCCATAGAAAAGTGGAATACGTGGAAAGAGAACAATTGCCAACCTAATTTTTGGAAAAATGTTGTGCCTCTCAATAGTTGCGGCCCTTATTACTATGAGGACCCTCTGGTCGTCACTGGGAAGATGTGTCGAGGAGAAGATCAGAGGGGAACTGTTGAACTAAGATCAGATCATGTTGGTCTTCACAGTCATGATACCATATCAATGGCAGTAATTGATAAGGTATGTTGATAAAATGAAATGAATTTTCTTTTGTCATTGAGTTCATGAATATTACTGGATTTGTTTCTTGGAATAGTTTGGGCACATTGCTGTTGGAACATCCACCAATGGAGCCACCTTCAAGATCCCAGGCAGGTAAGTTTTGATAGCTGCCTACTCTTTACTTTGTTGATAAAGCTTCACTCTTATCTTTACACAGAGAAATATGAGATTCGAGTAGGTCAAAACTTCATTTAAAATGTGAATTTGAAGATTCATATATTTGATACAAACTCCCAAGTCAGATTATGAAATCATTGCCACTTCCATTTGTTATTAGCGCCATTTTCTTGTCAGTTGTCACACAATAAACTAGATGTTGTGCCTCTGTGAATTAGCTTTCTCTGCTACAGGGTGGGTGATGGACCTATAGCAGGATCTTCGGCCTATGCAGACGGTGATATTGGTGCTTGTGGAGCAACCGGGGATGGCGACATCATGATGCGATTCCTCCCATGGTAACACAAACCACAAATTTCTTACAGATGACAAAAACTGAGAACTTTCCATCTGAGACAGTGTTTTGAACCTTGATTTGCTCAGTGCTACACTTTTTAAGCTCAGCCCAAGTCTAAAGGCTGAATCCTAGTGTTATGTTCATAAACAAAACAATTTCTACCCTTCATTTATACAACTCTGCTTTCTATAAAACCCAATGAATAAGCCTTGAGATGTTCTAACTTCTATGATATCAACAAATTGATTTGGGTCTATTTGCTTGTTCATTAGTTCTTCAAAATCATTCTCACTATTCCCATCTTTAACTAAATTTCTGCTTTCGGTTCAATATCCGAAATACTTCCAACCACTTGTTACAGCTATCAAGTTGTCGAGAGTATGCGACTGGGGATGGAGCCGAAGGATGCTGCTAAAGATGCAATATCACGGATCACAAGAAAGTTCCCAGACTTTGTTGGAGCTATTTTTGCTGTTAACAAAACTGGCACTCATGCCGGGGCTTGCCATGGATGGACATTTCAATACTCGGTCAGAAACGCAGAAATGCTTCGTGCCGAGGTTTTCACTGTACTTCCTTGATGCTGCAATTCTCCTTCTCTTTTGGCATTGAGGTGCCTGTGATCCATGAATGAAAGCATTGTATTGGCTCATAAGTGTTGTAGTTGATATAATGACATTGCTTAAATGATTGCTGATACAATGTAGAAGATAAGTAGAAGAAAGGATGGTTGTTATTGCCAAAACACTCAAAATGAGGTATAGGCAACATTGATCTCTAGTAGTTTGGTTGTCTTAAGAGATAACCAGAAATACTTTTCACAAAACACTCTTAAGAAGAAAGAGTTATAACCCATCACAAAACACTTCTTGTCTTCGGTTCGGTTTGGTTCAATTTAGTTTTTGATGAAGAATGAACTAGCCACGTCGATCAACATACATTGCTCATCGAACAAATATGCTTAATTGAATCAAACCTACTTGACGTATGTTAGTTCGATTTCTTTACCCTTTTAGTGGGAGTGCTCAACCTTTTTTCTCTGAATTCTATGGCACGTGGGATGAGAATTCGAACCATCGATCTTTTAGTCGATGATATATGTCTTAACTAGTTAAATTATGCTTACAGTAGAATGAAAGTACTCACTTTTGAGTATATGAAAAGTTCATTCTTGACTAGATTCGAAAGGTAGCGTTAGATTATTGACGAGAAAAGAAAAATGAAGTATTACTTGTATGGTTTGTAAATAATAAATCATATTTGTGGGCTTTAATAATAATTCTAAAACAGTTGTGATAAGGTTTAAAATCATATTATGATCTAAAGAAAATTTGTTGGCTAATTATGATAACGTTTGTGGGAAAATTGAATAATAAATTTGCAGCTTTCAGACGAAACGTGAAGATTCGAAATTCCTTGGATAGAAAATATTTTAATCGATTGGTCCATGCTAAATTAAACATTAATATTAAATTTCTTTTTAAAACTAAAACCAACTGATTTTGCATATTTATTGTACAAATTAAATACTTCTTTTGAGATGGTTGATAGTAATTAAATCAAAATTTCTATTTTAACTGAATTTATGATGTCAAGTCAATGTTCTCTTAATGAATTATAGTAATTAAATTATAAATACGTATTATTTCTTTTAAACCAATTTAATATATGAACAAATTAATTTTATTTTATATATTAAAGTGGAAGAAAGGGGACTCGGAAGTCGGAAGTCAATGGACGAAGTTTTCCAAACCCTAATTATTCGAATGTTTCTCAAAGGGTTGCAAGTGTATGGAATTGGAGAATTGTCCTTCAGAAATTTTCAAAGTCCATGGCTGACAGAGACTCAGACCAGTGATTCCACTTGAGACGACTTCCAAAGTCTCCTCTACGAATTCTCCAATGCTCCACAACCGCAAATCCATGTTTATGGGTAGCTTCTATTCCCCACTCCACCCAGTTTCTCCACAGCGAGATACACTGACCAGTTCCACAGTTCTTGCACATGTCTACCCCTTTAGAGTAATCTCTCCCTCCCTCTCCTTGAATTTTGATTTCCATCGGATTTCTGAGAATTTTGTTAATTGTATGTATTTGATGAAGTCCCATTTTGTGTATATGGTTAAATTGAGGCATATCAAGGCGTTTGAATTGTCTTTTTAAACTTGTTTAGATATTATCACTCGCTCCCACCTGTGAGCAAGCTGTATGGAGTGGGCTGTTTGATGACCACCGCTGCTTACTATCTCCAGCTTTATGACCTCGAGAGCATATTTCTGCTGTACAGCCTTGTAATTAAAAAGTTTCAGGTAAAACAGTCTCATATTGTGGCTCTGATCAATTTGTGAAAGATGGAATTACAGTTGCCAAGTGTTGCATTTTTTTTTTAAATATGTCTTGCCATAACTGCTTCATTCTTGAACAGGTTTGGAGGCTCATCACCAACTTCTTCTTCCTTGGCCCGTTTTCGTTTCCGTTTGCTTTTCGTCTAATAATCATGTAAAAAGCATACTACTTTCAAGTGTTCATCTTCATTCTTTGAGCTAGAAGTAGGGTTAAAAACATCAGATTCATTATGATATTTGCATAACAATTATGCATTTTGAAATATGCAGAGCAAAATATGGCGTATCATTGGAGAGAGGTCCCTTTGATAAAAGAACTGCGGACTATGTGTGGATGTTGTTTTTTGGAGCTCTTTCACTTCTGGTGAGTCTGATATGGATTTTGTGCAAATTTGTATTCATGAGATTCGACTGATCCAGACATTTTTGTTGTCGTGTTGCTGTTGATTTGATTTTGGAAATTTTAAGGGTTGTGAATCTTAATTCTCTGACAAGAGCAATAAAAGAATTTATTAGCAGAAAAAGAAATGACAAGGAAGAGAATGATATAGAGTTTATATAGGCGAGCCCTAGTTTGGACTATATCCTGGTTATGTAGGGTCTACAGGTTCTACTATGGAGCTGAATATTATAAGAGAAAAACAATAGATAGAGAATCTCACGCACATAGTTGTGCCTTAAACACTCAATAATTTTGTCCTTTCTTTTTCTACCCCTCTCGATGCACTTTGAATAGCCCCTAACAAGCGTTCCACTCTCTCCACACCCAAAAACAAAAGATAAAACACCCTTAATAGACTTGGGTTGTATTATATCATTCTTGCATGGCATTATCAACAAAATGCCTCTTTTGTTTGGAGTGACAAACTGGTATTTAGATAAGATTTTGTAAGCCCGTGAACCTTTCAGAGTCTTCTTTGGATCCTAGGAGTTTGATAATTAAGCACCAAAAACCGTATATTTTATATTTTGATCGGCCTTCAAGTGATGATATCTGTTATCATTTCTTTTACCATTCAGGTAATGGCTGCTATTCCATACTGTTGGACTCCGTTCATGGGAAGTTCTTTGGTTTTCATGATTGTCTACATCTGGGGCCGTGAGTTCCCAAATGCACGTATCAGCATCTATGGTGTCGTTTCATTGAAGGTCAGTAAAATTCATTATATTTCAGCTTCTTCTCCTTTGCCAGGGTAAACACACATTTCTTGTTTGGTATTTATAAAGCATAAAGGTTGGTTTGTACATCTCTTTCACCTTTTTGGAAAGACCTTCCACTGGAACTTCAAGAGATTCAGTTTTGGTAATATGAAAAAGGATTTGATTGGGGCTGAAGTTCCTGTTAAAATAACTTACTGAATTACAGTCAGAAACATGCTTCATTTGACGTGGTTATTCCAGCAAGAAACCAAACATGCTGATAGACTAGTAAATTTTTGACTTCCTGTTGCTGGGCTGTTTTTTTGTATGCTCTCTTTTTGTAGTCTTTATTCATTTATCTCAATAAAAGTGCAGTTTCTTATAAAAAAAAAAAGACTAGTAAATTTTTGGCCAAACCATTATTTTCAATGAAAACTATTAGAAGTTTCAAAATATGCATGTTTTCTTCGGCTTTATGATACCGAAGCTAGATCTTTTTTATTTTTCTCATTTTCGATCTTAGTGCTCCACACTCCACAGGGATTCTATCTTCCTTGGGCAATGCTGGCTCTGGATCTAATCTTTGGCAATCCTTTGAAGCCAGATATTTTGGGAATGGTGGCAGGGCATCTTTATTACTTTTTGACTGTTCTACATCCTCTTGCTGGTGGGAAATTCATCATCAAAACCCCTTTCTGGGTGTATCCTACATAATACAAATATATATATGGTGCATCATTCGTAGGTATACATATGCATACATACACACATGCACACAGACATATGTATGAATGTTCTTTCTTGGTACATCATGTTGAGAAATAATCAATTTACCTCAGCATAATAACCTAAGCTTTTGGATCTAGTAATGACTCAGCGTATCGTTGCAGGAGATCTTGACTTCAAGTCTCTGTGATATTTTCCATTTCACATTATATTTGTCTTTGCATTGGGTCTCATGCTGTTGTCTTAACCCACATGTGAGGAGTGTTCAATTTTTGGGTTTAGTGTTAATTTAAGACATAAAATTTCCTGAAGTTATAACCAAAAAAAGAAGAAAAATATTGAAAATGACAAATACTAGTCTTGAAACCTCATTCCTTATTCAGTTTCAGTGGGTTTCTCTCATTGCAGTAAAGATCTGTTAACTTTTGATAGTGATATGTACCTGTTACCTTTTATCTTGCTAGTATATGCAAATAAGGTAATTTCACCTTCAAGTAATAAAATGAAGCTGATAAATTGCTAAGCATGGGTAAGGAAAGCAGCCAACTATTGGCAAAACCTTCCTTTTGGTTTGAGCTGCCTTAATTAATTCTTCTGTACAAAACCTTAATGGCCTTACAGTCACAGGCTAGTAGCATACTGGGGTGCAGGGATACAAGTTAATTCTCCTGTGCAGCGGGACCCTTCTGCTGGTACTGCATTTCGTGGAAGAAGCTACCGCCTTAATGCTGCTGCTCGAACAAGCAATCGGGAGCGAACCCGAACACGCTCTTCTCCCTCTCCACCACCAGCATCACCACAACCAAGCTCTAATCGGGATCAAGGAGCTGCCTTCCGTGGCCGAGGTCATCGTCTTGGTAGTTAAGTCTTTCTAGTTTGTATTACTTGTACGACTTATTATATATCAACAAGGATCTATAAGTACACATCTCAAAATAAAATTTATGATTGGATGTAATTTACACTCTTATCTGGTAACACATTTTTTTTCTTAATACTTGTATGCTAATAATTTGTTTGCTTTATTTTTTACCTTCCCTCAACCAAATTTGAAAAAGAAAATCCAATTTTTGGAAAGTATTTTTTTAAGCTCCTGTTTGACATCGTCTTCGTGAAAATTTTCTATTTCCAAAAATTGTTCAAGAACAATAGTTTTGCTTTTGTTTTTTACTTTTAAAATCAATCATGAAAACTTAGCCAAATTTGAAAAACAATGAACTTAGCTTTCTTTTTTCTTTTGATATAGACAGAGAAGCAACTTTTTTCTTTTTCAATGTCTTTTTAGAAATAAAGAAAGAAAAATCAAACAGGATTTACGTTTTTTAGTTTTCAAATGATTCGACTAGAAATTAGAGGTGCGGTACGAAAGTTTGTTTCTGGTTAAAAAAAAAAAAGTCGTAAGAAAGTAAATTTTACAACCAAGAAATATTATAGAAAATGAAGAAGAAAATTGTTATGAAAATATGAATGCAAGGCAAGTAGTCAACTCTTAAGAGATGAAGAAAACAAAAAGTCAAGTTGAGTATCTAAATAGATTGATAATAAGAGGAGTGGAAACTGAAGAAGCATGTGCCACATTCCTCTGATATTGTGCAGAAGCAGAAGCAGAGTTGTAAAAGGTGAAGAAACCACATGCCTTTCTGACCAAAATGGCAAATTTAATAAGTATTTTTGTAGGGAATGAATCAGAGAGAAAATATTTTTACTTTTTTCTTTTGGGTTTCTGATTTCATATCTTTTATTTGACCAAAAAAGGATAAATGGAAAAAGGAGCCAACTAAAGAATACGACCAACCCAATATAGATCTGCTAAAGTTTCTCCATTTCCATTCACAGTCCAAGATCTATGAAGGAAGAATAGGCTTCAATTATTGTCAAAAACAGATTTTTCATAAAAATAAATTAGAAGAAAGCTAGAGAAAGCAACTTCCAAAATACTCTGTTAACAGCCACTTAGCTTCCATCATGGATCTTTCAACAAAGTTTTCTTCCAAAATACCAAACTGTTACACCTTCTTTAGCCTCGTTTAGTTGCCAAAATTTTAGGCCCTTAGCTCCAATGGTATTCCCTTGTGTACAGCAAAATCAGTACTCTCTCAATCATGTTGAGCATGGAGAAGTTGGTTCTCAAGAATTATACTGATGAAAACTTTTTCTAAAACTTCCCCCTATTGCTGAGGCTGACTTCCAAGGATTAATATGCTGCAGAATCCCGGTTATGTTCCGATTTCGTCGAGCTTGCGTAGCACTTGCTTCATACTAGGTCTAAGAGCAGGAGAAGGAGAACAACAAGCCATAGCAAGCTGAAAGAATTGGAGAATCTTTTCTTCAGTGACAGCATTTCCATCAATGCTGCTATAGAGAAGTATTTCTGGATGGAACAAATCTGCAATTCTATGTCCAAGAACCGCGTTTCGCATAAAGCTAGGCAAGTAGAAATCCTCATCAGGAGTCGGCTTTTCGTTGATCGGTTCCCTCCCGGACAGTAACTCAAGTAAGATCACGCCATAGCTATAGGCGTCAGTCTCCTCAGCTGCATCTTTCATCTTGATCAGCTCAGGAGCTTTGTAGCCATTAGCTGCTGAAGCCTCAAGTACCTCTTGAGCAGAAGGGGAATTCAACAGTAGATGCAGGCCGAAATCGGAGACATACGGTTCGAAGTTTCGATCCAAAAGAACATTCTTCGACTGTAGATTCCCATGGATTATTGGCTTTTTCAGGCCAGTGTGGAGATGATCCAACCCTTTGGCTATACCGACCGAGATCTTTAATATAACTCCCCATCGATGCGAATCGCTATTCCCATCTGTCGAATCGAATCCGAAATAGATTGGATCAGCACATCTTTGTTTCTGCTAAATGTGCAAATCAACAAAACATATCACAGAGAACAAGAGAAACAGCATTGAAAAGATCCAATATTTTGATTACCAACAAAACTAAGCAAACACAGAGAAACAATCAGAAAAAGTGAAAGATAGAGGAAAAAGACAAATGGGTTTTACCTCTAATGAACTGAGCCAGATTTCCTCTCCTGTAAAATGGATGAATGAGAAGCTTCTCTGCTCTTGGCCCTGAATAGAAACCCAAAAGAGGCACCAAATTTGGGTGCCTTATGGAACCCAAAAACTGAATCTCAGAGACAAATTCTTGAAGCCCAGAAGTGCAAACTGGCCTCAGAAACCTCAGCAGCCTCACTGTGCTACTTCCCTGCAAATAGGCCTTGTACAAAGTTCCATGGTTGGCTTTCCCAATCACTTCACCAGGAGCTTCCAATACATCCACAATGGTCAGGTCCTGTCCACCTTCAAAACTCACCAATTCTTCCCTCTCTTCATCCCCTTTTTCTCTCTGCTGTTTGCTCTCTATGTCATTGTAGTACTCGTCTTTTCCCCTTCCCCTCCGGTTCAAGAAGACAACAAGGAGAATGACCAAAATTGTAACTAAAACAGCTCCAAGAGCTAGATTGAGCATCTGGGTCATCTTCTTTTGAGCAAAAAAGTTTGAGTTCTTAGCAGAAGAGCCTTAAAGACCAAAAGGGAACAGGATTGAGAGGGCTAAGAATCATTCAATTTCATGGTGAGAAGGGGAAGTGAAGTGCTTCTTAGTTTGGATCAAGCAATGGAAAGAGGAGAAGAAAATGAATACTATTATTAGATTATGGGTCATTTCATTTGGCAGAGAGAGAGAGAAAGAGAGGGAAATTTTGCAGAAAAGACAGATCTGAGCCATGTGATGGCCATGGCTGATTGACGGCTGTGTTTGTGCAGTGACGTTTGAAATTCCATTTCAACAAGTGAGAATGTCTCTTTGCTCAACAATGTCTGAGGACAATGATGAGTATTCAAGAAAAAAAGAAAAGAAAAGAAAACATTTACGCATTATTGAATGCATCCATTATTACATTGTAAGAAATATTGTATGTTTCAAGTTGAATTGTTCAAAGGTATTTATTTTCCACCAAAAAAAATATTCGGTTCAAATCCATCTCATAAGATGTTATATTGAAAAAAAAACGACAATGTATCCTTTTCGAAAAAAGTAGTGTTATCATTTTTAGATTTAAATAGTGTTAGAAGTCAGGTACTTTTGATTTTAGTTCATTATAGTATATTTTCTTTCGAAATGTCTATTTTGGTCGCTATAGTTTCAAATTTTTTTTGTTGCTATAGTTTCAATCTTTATTCATTTTAATTTTTATATTTTCAAAATTTCTCTTCTAGTTGATGTAATTTTAAAAAGTTATCATTTGGCAATCCACCTTCATTTTATCTCTTTTATTTCGATTATAGTTTTAGCATATACCTTACTAAATTTGTTGAGATCGTGGTCATAATGAACCAAAGAGCATGTATAAAATTTGTGTTAAAATTTTAAGAACATAATTGATCGCTTTTTAAAAGTATAAATACTAAAATGGACGTTTTGAAATTACAATTATATTGAAAAAGTATTTAAACTAAATTTTTACCATTTGCTTTAGACGGTAATATTCTCAGAAATAAAAAACAATGGAAAATAAAAAAGGGTTTTCTTTTTTTCCCTTTTATCAAATTTGAGCTTTACATGATCATATGCACTTTAATTTGCTTTAGACATGTCAAGCCAGAACGGTACTTCTATGCTTAGATGACAGCTAAAGAGTTCGAGGTTTTGTTTCCTGAATTTATAAAAAAAAAAAAAGAAAAAGAAAAAGAAAAA